TATCTCTTTTTTTTTCCCCCCTTCAGTATTGAGCTACATCCCCAGCCCTTTTTTAGTTTTTTGAGGCAGGGTCTCGCTAAATTGCGAAATTGCCAGGCTGGGTTGGAATTTGCAATTCTTTCCTCAGCCTCCAGGGTGGGCGTGAGGATTAGAGAGGTACACCACCACTCTTGGCAAGTTTTATGTTTGTTTTGTTATTTTAGTTTTGTTTGGGGAAAATTTTTTGAGAGAGGGTCTCACTATATAATTCAGGCTGGCCTTGAAATCCACGTAGTCCCTCACACCAGCCTCATGAGTGTTGGGTCCTGGGAGTGTGCCCTCAGTTTTGGTCTCTCTGTCTCTTTCTCTCCCCCACTACCTCTCCATTTTTCCCCTCCTGACCACAGAGAAAGTGGCTTTGCACGGTTCTCTTGCCAAAACATGCCTTGCCACAGGCCTACAAGCAATAGGGCCAACCAGCCATAGACTCAAATATCTGACGTTAGTTCTCGGGCCTGGAACCCTAGGAACCTCCAGCTCCAGGTCTTTGAATTCAGAGCTAAGTCACTGGCATTGCTCATTCTGCAGTTGCAGACAGCAGATTGTAGGACTTCTGTAATTACACGTGCTGATTCTCATAACAAATTTCTTCACATGTGTCTAACTATATATGGTATTTGTAGGGTGCACACAGACATTCATACATCCTGTTGGTTCTGCTTCTCCAGAGAGCTCTCGTAGGACTTCTCTTTGTATTATTGGTTTATGTAGTAGGTTTTCGTTTATTTGTTTTGTTTTTCTCTTGTCTTTTTTTTTTTTTTTTTTTTTTTTTTTTTTTTTTTTTTTTTTTTTTTTTGGTGGTACCGGGAATCAAACTCGGGTCGTTGTGCTTGCGAGGCAGGCCACCGAACCTCTGAGCTAAATCCCCGGCTTTTCTGTCATTTTGGATTTCAGGAAGAAATCAGGTATTAGTCTCTTTTCTGTCACTAGGACAAAATACATGATGTACAAAACTGTAAGGAGGAAAGATTTAATTTTGGCTCACAGTTTTGTGCATTTTAGTCCAAAACATAAACTCTCCAGGATGGGTGCGGTGGCCCTGTAATGCTAGTATTCAGGAGGCTGAGGGAGGAGGATTGCTGTAAGTTCAAAGCCAGCCTGAGTTACATAGTGAGTTCATGACCACCCTGAACTGCATAGTGAAATCCTGTTTCAGAAAAACCAAAAAAACAGATCTCATGCATGCCAAGCAAGGTTTCCGTCCCTGAGCCACACCCCAGCCGACTGAATACCATGTACTACAGAGTATGAAAGGTGAGACAATAATGTTTTTCTGTTTTGTTTTGTTTTTGGTACTGGATATTAAACTCAGGGCTTTCAAACTGAGCTATATTCCAGCCTTTTCGTTTTTGTTTCTGAGACAGGGTCTTACTAAGTTGCCCAGTTTGGACCACTTGCCATCCTCCTGCCTCAGCCTCAGAGTGCTGGGATCACAGGTGTGCACCACTAGGTCCAGCTAATAATGACAATTTTCAGTTAAAGACTTTGCCTCTCCTTCCTATTGTCAAAGAAGAAAATGCTGGAGGCTTGGGATTTACCTCAGTGGTAAAGCTTATGATTAGCATGCACAAGCCCCTGGGTTCCATAAAAAATATAGACCACAGGGCCAGGGATTTGGCTCCATGGAGCCGCTGCCTGCCTCACAAGCACGAGGTCCTGAGCGTGATCCCCAATACAGAAAAAAAAAATAAATAAATAAAAATAAAAAAGAAAGCATCACTTCTGAATAAGAGTACTGTGAAAGTACAGAAAGCAAAAGTGGGAAATGTTGAAGGCAATGACGTCCTATTCTTCCAGGCAGCAAGGGCTAGTGCCTGAAGGTTTTGTGCTTTAAAGCTCACGCTGTAAGTTAACTGCCATTATAGCGACAGTAAGAAGTCTGGCCAGGCATTGCGGTGCACACCTGTTATCCCAGCACTCAGGAGGCAGAGTCAGGAAGATCATGAGTTTCAGGCCAGCCTGCACTACATATTGAGTTTAAGGCCAGCCTGTATTACATATCTAGACCCTGTCTCAAGAAACCAACAAAGGCCTCGAAAGCTCCCTCCTCAATGTGGCATTAATACCATCATTAAAAAGGGGGAGGCCGGGTGTGGTGGCGCACCCCTGTAATCCCAGCATTCAGGAGGCTGAGGCAGGAGGATCGCTGTGAGTTCGAGACCAGCCTGGGCTACATACTGAGTTCCAGGTCAATGTCAACTACATAGTGAGACCCTGTCTCAAAAAAACAAAATAAAAAATGGGGGGAGGTCCGGGGGTTTAGCTCAGTGGTGCCGCTGCCTACCTCACAAGCGGAAGGTCCCGAGTGCGACCCCAGTACCAAAAGAAAAAAAAAAAAATGGTGACTGGCACCCTTTTTCTCTTGGCCCCTCTGCCTTTTGCCACATGATGAAGCAGTTTCAAGGGCTCCTATGGACCCCAGCAGCTTGATCATGGACTTGTCATCCTCCAGATTTGAGGTTAGTCTGCATTTGTTATAAGCTACCCAGGCACAAAACAGATGAAGACACCAAGGTTCCACACCTTATCTAACCGCCGTGTACACTTATTATTCATGATGTGTAAAAAGTGTAACTAAGACATTCGTAAACATCGTTCACTATAAAAGGGTGAGCAGTGAAAAGACGTTAACATAAGGGAAAGCTGGCTGAGGTATGTAAGGAAATTGGGCTCACTTTGTAAACTTTTTGTAAATGTATGATCAGTTCAAAATGAAAAGATACAGAAGGCCGGGAATTTAGCTCAAGGTTCCGCCGCCTGCCTGGCAAGCACAAGGTCCTGAGTTTGATCTCTGGCATGAAAAAAAAAACAAAAAAATGTTAGAAGCCAGCGCCAGCCATGATGCACACCTGTAACCACATGGGGAGGCTGAGGCAGGAGGTTTGCAAATTCAAGGCCAACCTGGACAACTTAGTGAGTCCTTGTGTCAAATAAATAATAAAAAGGTGGGAATGTTGCTCAGCAGGAAAGCAGCTGCCTATGTGCAAGGCATAGGTTCAATCCCCAGTACTGAAAAAAAGTTAAATAAAAGTTTGACTATAAAGCTCAAGCTCCTGCACTTGTGCCTTCAGTGTTAATCCTAATGCTGGATTTTTGATTCTAATCCAAAATTACTATTTTGCAGTCATGGTAACAAAATGTTCATGGATTGGAAACCTGTGAGTTAATGGCTCCTTTTGATATGGCTGTGGCTGAGGCCCTGTCTCAAAAAAACCAAAAATTTTTTTAAAAGAGAGCAAAATGTTGACTCTATGAGCACAAACTCTTTTATTTAATTGCAAGGGATGCATCCTATGTACACTTTTTTCTCTCCCAAATTCTTTAACTGCTACAATTGCCCTTATGGAGACTATGAATATTGGAAAAGTTTTTAATTAGTAATCTATTAAAACCTAGGAAGCAGTACATTTCTATGGAGCCTTTTGAAATGACGCTTTGGAAGCTTACATACAATAATTGAAAGCAGATGGTTTTGTAAAATACATAGGTAATTACAGATTTCTTCAACTCACAACATAATGTATTTCACCATAAGTAGAAGCCTATTTCCTTCAAAAGTAACTTTCTACTACTTTCTCATAAAAATATAAAAAAGACCACATCTACTTTTGAGAACCTATATGTGACCTGGATCAAGGTTGGGTTTTTTGTTTTTTTTTTTCGGTCTTTTGAGACAGGGTCTCACCATGTAGTTAAGACTGACCTGGAACTCACTATGTAGCCCAGGGTGGTCTGAAACTCACAGTGATCCTCCTGCCTCAGCCTCCTGAGTGCTGGGATTACAGGTGTGCGCCACCATGCCCTGCCGGATCAAGGTTTTTCTACAAACATACTTCTTTCCAAAAAGTCTGAAAAGCATCACAGAATAATGTGATGTTATTTCAATCTCAGAGCAAGAATATTTTACTTTTAAGAAACACTGTGCAGTATTTCCTTTTGAACATTTCACCCTAGATTTAAACTGTGTGCGTACTATATAAACACTGCAGATTAACCCTACTTGTTCATTTAAGCAGTAGACTTGTCATATAAGACCAGTTACCAAATAAGCTGTTATACCATAGTTGCAAAAAAAGGCAAAAGGCAATCTTTAAAAATTTTTTTTTTTTTTTTTTTTTTTATATAGGGATCAAACTCAAGCCCTTGTACTTGCGAGGTAGGGAGCAGCACCACTGAGCTAAATCCCTGGCGCTAAAAATCTTTTTTAATAAAGGCAACCAACAATGTCCTAACTTTCTGTAAAAGTCCCTTTCTTCCTCCTTTTTCTCCCCTAGAATGGTGCCTTTTGCAGCACGATAGAGTGCTTTTTCTAAGTTGGCCTTTTACATAGCTGCTTTCTTTTCTGGTCTGCTGAATTTTTAAAAGTTACCAAGACTAGACTCCTTCGTGTCAGATTTTTTTTGCCCCATTTAGGTTCCTCTAGAATTATTTTCCACAGAAAAGGGTAACTCCAAGCACTTAAGAAACCAGGAGGAAATGAATGATGAAACATAACAACTTGCAACTTGTAACGTTCAAAAGTTATAAATATATTAATACATTCTCTTATTCAGGACAAATAGAACAACTTTCTGAACATCAACATAAAAATAGAGTATATTTCTTAACAGTAGGAAAACTCCCAAGTTTCCAGTAACAATATACTATACTTTATGTAATAACACAGCCAGATAATCTGATGATTTACCCTGAAAACCTGTCCAGTATATACCATGAACATATAATAAAGCTAGGCCTTCATTTCACAGGGAGCAAATATAAGGCTCATCACAAAAACAGATTTGCTGGATTTTTTTTTTTTTTTTGGAGACAGGTCTCACTTGTCAGATTGGCCTCAAACATAACTACTGGGCCAGGCTGGCCTCGAACTCATGATGATCCCACTGCCTCAGCCTCCCGAGTATGGGGATTACAGGTGCGTGCCGGCACGCCCAGAGATTTGTTGGATTTTAGTTTTAAATTCTAGAGCTACATTTTAAAGATTAAAAAAAGAAAAACAAGATTCACCTCCAAAATAAAAATTGTTCATACATATAACTCATTGTTACCTTTATGCTCTTACAATGTAAAACACTTAGAAACTTTTGAACTCTACAAGTTTTGAACGATTAATCTATTTGGCTTTATCACGACTGCGTTTTCGGTTCACGGGTCCGATGTGGGTGGGAAATTCTACTTCTTCTTCTTCTTCTTCGGTGGCTCGTCCTCAGAGGTGCTCTCCGTGCTGCTGCTGCTGCTGGGAGAGCTGGAGTCCGAGTCCGAGTCCGAGTCCGAGGAGGACGAGGAGGAGGAGGTTGTGGAGGAGGCAGAGGATGACGCGCTGGAGGAGCTCCCGTCAGAGTCACTGTCCTCCTCCCCCGCTGAGGAGGTAGATGTGTCTCCACTCCCCGACGAAGAGTCACTGGCCGAACTGTCACTGCTGTCGCTACTGGAACTGGTTACACTCTTGGACCTGCCAGACAACAAACAGCGTACACATGGGAAGCTGGCAGTTCACAGGCTGCATAAAAGCAGCACGACAGGGTGTCACCTACCCACCCCCACTGCTGCAAGCAGTGCCCTTCCCGTTACAGGTCTTGCTGCTTCCGCAAGCACGGGGCTCATCACCGCCTCTCCGCCTGGCGGTTAAGACCAAGTGAAGAACAGAGTCACAATAAGTGTGTCTCCTGTACTACGCTTCAGAACAGAAAAGATGACAAAAAAGTTGCAGGGTAACAATTAAACTTATTTAAACCTCATGTGGGCTAGCAAATGCTTCATGCTTTTTTTTCTTTTTAAGAGGTATTGGGGACTGAACCCAGGTCCCTGCACAAGCTCTACTACTACCACTGAGTTACATTCTTGGCCCTTTGTAAAATTTCATGTATGTATGTATGTATGTATGTGTATGTATGTGTGTGTGTGTAATCTATCTAAAGAGACTTAAATTTTGTATGTATGTATGTATGTATGTGTGTGTGTGTGTGTGTGTGTGTGTGTGTATATATATATATATGTATATATATATTTTTTTTATTTTTATTTTTTAATTTTGGAGACAGGGTCTCATTATATAGTTCAGGCTGGGCTTGAACTCACTATGTAGCCCAGGCTGGCCTCAAACTCATGGCACTCCTCTTGGCTCAGCTTCCCGAATGCTAGGATTATAGGCATGCACCACCACGCCCAGCTTGTAAAGTCATATTTGGAGGTAGGATCCCACTAAGTTTCCCAGACTCACCCCAAACTTTCGATCCTGCTGCTCCAGCCGTCCAAGCAATTAGGCTCACAGGCGTGACCCTCTATGCCCAGCATACTCTTTATTTTAACTTCTTCATATCAGAAATGGCTGGCCAGTAATTCCTAACCAATCTAATAATAATTCCTATTCTAAGTCAACTTCTATTTCCAAGTCTAAGGACTCTAGAAAGATGTGCAAAGAGGAGAAATGCCAATAAATTCCAGGCAAGGGAAAAGGAAAAAGCACAAAACAAAACGACAGTTAATTATGAACAGCAAACAAGAGACGCCAAACGCAAATGTTATAACTATTCCTTCAAAATCACCGCTCCTTCCTCTAACCAGTGTTATCTATAAAATACTCCCAAGCCACACATACCTTTTTTTCTTGGTCTTTCTTTCTACATTAGTCTCTCCAATGCTGTCAACACAAGAGGAACGAAAGCTCCTGTTAATACAGCGATTACACACAGAAAAAGCCCCCTGCTATGTCCAGGACCATTTTACTTTAGAGAAACACCGTCTTTTATAATCTGTACCCAGAGCACAGTACTTGCTATAATCAAGCAGCAAGTTTCCTGTTGTAGACAACTTAATCAGAACTTAAGCAAAAAATTTCACCAACCCATAACTTAAAGGCCAGGTAAATTAGTAAGATGGCTGAATGAACAAATTTAATCCTTTTTAAAATTGGAACTACTTACTAAACAATCACCCAAAGCAAATAAACACAATGGCTATAATTTGAGTTCTCAGAGTCAATTTAATACTGCAAGACTGCGTACCCTTATTTATTTATGTGTGTGTGGGTGGGTACCGGAGACTGAACTCAGGGCTTTCATACTGATCTTTATCTCCAACTCTTTAAATGTTTTAAATTTTGAGAATAGGTCTTGCTGCGTCACTAAGTTGCCCTGGCTGGGCTGGAACACGCCGTCTTCCTGCCTCAGCCTCCCAGACTGCTAGCATTACAGGCATGTGCCACCACACCAGACTCTTTTATATTACTTGTAAAGAAGAAAAACAAAGGACTGGGGATTTGGCTCAGTGGTTCCACCGTCTGCCTCGCAAGTGCAAGGGCCCGAGTTCAATCTTCCCTTCTCCCCGCCAAAAAAGAAGAAAAACAAGTGAATGAGAATGAAATATACAAAAGGCTTGTTGCTACATTTCTGCCAATAAATGTGCATACCAATCAAGTTTTCAAATCACAGACTTTTTTTTTTGAGACAGGGTCTCACTATGCAGTTCAGGCTGGTCTTGAACTCAAGGGGATCTTCAGGCCTCAACCTCTTGAGGGTTGGACTTACAGATGTGCACCAACACATCCGGCTTCAAATTACAGACTTACCTCTAATGCTATCAGTATGATTGTCCTATAAATATAACATTTCTATATTCTGAACTTCTGTGTATTTTCTATATGATGTTTCTATCCTTATTTCCTGAGTCTTCACAAATAAATATATACCATTATCTTACATAATGAAGTTACTTACTGAAAAGAAGTGGTTAAAAGGATATTTATGAAATCATATCATAAGAATTTGTGATCCTTGAAATTTATACATATCCATTGTTTTATTATTAAATCTAAATCAGCAGTCTTTATTCAAGCAACAGAGCCAGGTCTAAAACTTACATGGAGCCAGGCATGATGGCACACGCCTGTAATCCCAGCACTCGGGAGGCTGAGGCAGGAGGATCACTGTGAGTTTGACACCAGCCTGGACTACATAGTGAATTCCAGTCAGACTCAACTACATAGTGAGACCCTGTCTCAAACAAAACAAAACAAAACAAAACTTACATGGGTCTACATTTTTTTTTTTGGTACCAGGGATCAAACTTGGATCCTTGTGCTTGTGAGGCAGGCAGCAGAACTACTGAGCTAAATCCCCTGCGGGTCCACATATTTTTAAACCAAGATACTTTTGTGATACAACTAGGAAAATGAATGTTGGAATGACTTTTTTTGTCGCTGCTGGACAGGGTCTCACTATGTAGTTCACACTGACCTTGACCTCACTATGTAGCCCAGGCTGGCCTCGAACCTGCAATGATCCTCCTGCCTCAGACTCCCAAGATCTGAGATTATAGACATGCAGTATCATGCCCATGCTGGAATGACATTTTTTGTAACTCATATTTTATTTTTGACGGTGGTCTTCAAAATTTTTTGTGCTTACATTTTAATAAAATTTTTGGAAATCTCATATGGTACAATTCTTGTTCTAAGTTTGAACATTTTATATATACTGTTTGTGTGTGTGTGTGTGTGTGTGTATGTATGTGTGTGTGTGTGATGCTGGTGATTGAACCCACAGCCCTGCGCATGCTGCGCAAATACTGACTTACACTCTCAGACCATATTCACTTTCTTTTTCTTTGGTACCGGGGGACTGAACTCAGGACCTTTACCTTTTGAGGCAGGCAGTGGAACAACTGAACTAAATTCCCAGCTCATATTCTATTTATTTCCTCCAGTACCAGGGATTCAAACTCAGTACCTTGCACTTTTGAGGCATGCGTCAGCGCTGTTGAGCTAAATTCCAGCCCTTCATGTTCCTTTTTTTTCTCTCCTTTCATTATTTTATTTACTGGTGCTGCGGATTGAACCTAGGGGCTTCACACTGAGTGACACCCCTAGGCCTTCTTTTATTTTTGGACAGGGTCTTGCTAAGTCACTAAGTTGCCCAATCTATGATTGAACCACAATCCCCAGCTCATACACTGATGTCTTAAAAAGAAAATTATTGTATCACTTTTGTTACTGTATCCAATGAAAACTACAGCTACAATAATTTGCTATCTATCTTCATTATGGAACAAGTTTATGTTCAATAGCTGGTACTTTTACACTACCCTTTTTCTTCTCTTTCTACTTCCCCATACAATGTATCCTAATACTTGTTTGTTTGTTTGTTTGTTTTTTGGAGACAGGGTCTCACTATGTAGTTGAGATTGACCTGGAACTCACTATGTAGCCTAGGCTGGTCTTGAACTCACAGCGATCCTCCTGCCTCAGCCTCACCAGTGCTGGGATTGAGGTGTGCACCACCACGCCTGGCCCTAATACATTTTTATACCTGAAAATTTAAGTGATCACTTGTGCTGTTTCTTTCCAATAAAATACAGACATAACTAGAAATTTTATACCTTTTGATTACCTGTAATTATAAGGCTTTAAAAGTATTTTAAAATTCTAAATTGAGTCATTACTAATACACAATTAAAACAATGAGAAAATTCATCATAAATGTTGGTAACTATTACAAATACTTTTATTAGAAATGCATTTAAGGGTAAGGATCTTTTTTGCTGGGCATGGTGGTGATACTTTTTAACAAAACTTCATTCTCATTTACTACTTAAGTGAAGATTTCTGGGGGTTGAATCGATAAAGAATAAAAATAGGAATTGTATTGTCGCTGAGTCTCACTACACCCTATCTGTAAATGGTCAGCTCTGCCAGGGTGTGTGTCTCTTACATGGCTTCCTCTGAGGGCTTCCCGCAGCCTGTAGTTACATAATAATCAGTATAGATAGATAGATAGATGGATAGGTGTGTGTGTGTGTGTGTGTGTGTGTGTGCATGCGTGTACACATATATAATTTAGAAATACACATATATTCCGTCCCTGTGCTGGGGACTTAACCCAGTGACTCAGGCCCTTTTCTACTGAGCTACGTCCCCAGGCCACCTTTTAAATACGTTAGACTGACAGTTAAATCCACCTTCACTTTTACGGGGAAGAAAACAACATACAAAAGAATTTGCTTCTAGTATTTACGGCCATTCACTTTTTCTGTACAGTGTTTTTTGTTCTGGGGGGATTTTTTAGACAGGATCTTGTCATGTAGTTGAGGCTGGCCTTGAACTCACTATGTAACCCTGGCTGACCTTGCACTTGGCGATCCTCCTGCCTCAGTCTTCGAAGTGCTGGGATTGCAGGTGTGTGCTACCATGCCTGGCCTCCCTTTCTCAGTACAAATATCAGTATTTGTACCCTCATTCTTACATGGGAACACTAGACCAAGGTACGATTAGGACGAGTAAGGAGTACGCTTTCTTTAAATTTCTTTTGTAAAACTGTTGTAAAAAATAAAGTAGAAAGGAGAACCAAATGGTTAAGTCCTCATCCAGATTTGCTTTTGGAAAAAATACACATGAATGCCGGTGACCGAGAAATGGGACAATGATCTCTTTGGATGACCCTGAAGAGCGTTCATCTGCACAGACTGAAGACTCCTGGCTGGAGGCCCAGCGTATAGCTGCACAGTCCTCGTGAAGACGCTGTTTCTCATCTGTAACCCTAAGTAGACCTGCCACCTTCCCACTGTAGCTTCTCTAAAACACAGGCACTGGTTTCATCGCATTCAAAAAGGTTTATTCAGTGATATAAAAGACTGAATCATTTTCCAGTCTCGCTCTTACTGAGTTTTCCTTCTAAGAAGTAATCACTCTTATCAGGAACGCTTGGACCCGTGGGCTGGTCCCTGACCACGTCCACCAATGCGGATCCACACCTGGGCTCAGCCACTGCCAGCGTGGAGCTGGCTCTGCATTGTTTCCTTTCATGGACCACAGAAGTGCCAGCCAAACAACACATCTGCTACTGGGCCAGGCGAAAGTCTGGAATGGGATTCACACGGCTGGCTAGAGGAGAAGTCCCATCACAGAAACTGAGAAGGGAGGATCTGGAAGATCCAACACGGCTTAGTGGAGGAGGAGCCATGTTGGAGCAACGCAGAGAACATGAACAGATACCCAGGGAGGCAGAGACTCTATCATAAAAAGAAAGGGACACAGCGATGGATGGATCGAAAACCACGTCGTGACCATGTCTGAGTTTTGTTCTGAAGATTCACTATTTGGAGATAAACAAAGAGCATCCTGAAAGGAAGAGAGAAGACTGACACATTCAGCGGCAGTTGGAACCTTTGCGGAAAGCAAGGGACGCTGCCCCCAGGCCGGCCTTCCACAGGCAGCGGGTGGCGAGGGACCGTGGCCTGGTGCCCACCCCCACAAGGGCACAGTGAGAGCCGGCAGGGACGCCACTGCAGGGAAGGGCCCAGCGTTCCAGCCTGGGTCCCAGAGCAGCCCCTTGGCTCCAAGCCATGCGCCACTGTCAAGTTCCCAGCACGCACGAGGGAAGGGCAGCCACGGGAGACTGAGCAGGCCGGAGGGAGTCCTGCGGAGGGGCGGGAGCTGGTGAACAGGATCCAGCTCGTGCGGTCAGAGGCCAGGGTCGGCCTGGGCGACAGGACTCCTGGAAGGTCACACTGGCACCCTGTCCTTGCTGTATGTGGCTCTCTGCACCCAGCACCACTGAGGGGGTGGGGGACGGGGACTGCCGCCTCAGACTTTCAGCAAGAGCAGAGTCACATCTTGGCCTGAGTTCTGCTCCTTACCTAAGCTGTGGCAAAGAGCCATATGTTCAAAACAACAGAAAACTGTCTCCTTTTTTTGACCGGGGATTGAACTCAGGCCCTTGCGCTTACGAGGCTGGCGGCGGAACCACTGAGCCAAATCCCCGGCCCTAACTTTATTTTTATTTATTTACTGTTTTGCTGTTTTCCTCTTTCTTCTCACCCCCCCAACTTTTTGTTTGTTTGTGTTTGTTTTTTGAGACATGGTCTCTTTATTTAGCTCAGGCTGGCCTCTAATTCGCAGTGATCCTCCTGCCTCAGCCTCCTGAGTGCTGCGATTACAGGTGTGCACCATCTTGCCGGGCTTTCCTCACTTTTATTCCATTATTTGACCCTTCAAGTATGTGTATGTGTTTCTCTTCCTCTTGTCCTTTTCTTCCACTGTAGAGAGGCTAAGGGAATTCTCCTTGTCCCTTTTTATTTCTTCAGCTTTGACTTCTTTCTCACCCTTCCTCTATTTTTCTTTTTTTCTCCCTTCTCTTCGCCCGTCTTCATCTGTCTGCCTTTAACTTTTTCTCTAATATTTGTATCAGCCATAGAATTCTTTCTATTCCCATATTTTACTGCCGATTTTAGACCCCATTTTCCCGGTTATTGCCTTGAAATATAAAACATACCTTAGGGTCCTTTGCCCTCTGCCTACTTCCACCTTCCCATACCACGCAGCAGAAGAATTTTTTAAAAAACAAAACTTTCTTCTTTTCTTTCTCCCTTTCTGACATTACACCGTCCCCAACCCTCTGGGCAATAAAATACAACAATGAAGAGCACTGACCCTTGGGGCAGTTCGGCTGGTGTCACACTTCCCCTTTCCTCTTGCCAGTGATGTGACACTGAGCGAGTTACCGCCCCTTTGGGTGCCTCACTTCTTTCACAGGTCAGCTAAGGATAACGACAGCACCTTGCTCAGTAACACACTGTCTATCTGAGGTTCAACTCAGCTCCAACCTGAAAGAAATTAGTACACTGCCCAGCTCATAGCAAGCATTCACTAAGCATTAGCTAATATTATAATTAAACCTGAAGAACTGCCACAAAACACGTAGTACCTTAAGAGAGTCTATGGACACAAATAACAAACAGTCCTTTGGATACCACATGGAAACCTACCTTTGCTGTAATAATAATCTGTTTTCCTTTTCTTTTAAAGCTTTCTTTAGTTCTGCTGTTCTTGATGGCCTATGTAGGTATTTTCTTTTTCCAGTGCATTCATAAGTCCAGTGTCCAAATTCCAAGCATTTCTGACACCTTACATGCTGCTTATTGGCTTCACTACAGAGAAAATACAACATAAACCTTAAAATGTGCCTTGTAACCCTCTCTGCCCTGAAAAGCATAAACAATATCAAGTATAAAAGAATGTTTAATTTTTATCACAAAGGGCGTACAAGGCAGTATAGTAAGTGATTCAAAACATGGTCCCTGGGGATCAAACCACGGTCCATGCAGTTACAACAGAGCTGAGCTCTACTTTTGCCAGCAATGGTAGGACATGCTATAATTGCTCAGGAGGCCGAGATAGGAGGATCTGGAGCCTGTGACCAGCCTGGGCTAAACATTGTTAAAGACCAGCTTAGATTACATAGTAAGACCTTGTCTCAAAACAAAAAGAAACAAATAAACAGACACAAATATTGGCTCTCCAATTTTACTTCAGTAATGACAGATTAGATAATTCACACTAAACTTTCTTCACGTGCGTGTGGTATTAGGGGTTGAACCCAGGGCCTCGCACTGAACTTGTCCCCAGCCCTCTTTAAATTTTGAGACAAGGTCTCGTTAAATCGCCAAACTTCTGGTGTTCCTGTCTCAGCCTTCTGGAGTGCGGGGATTACAGGTTTACACTAAATATTTTAAACAGTCTCCTTGGGGAATCACAGAATTAACGTGGAGATGAAGAATAACCAAGACAACATATAGAAGCAGGCGGCACTCCTGTGCTAGAGGCGTATGCCCTTCTCAAGAGGGTAGGCACTACTTGTCACTCCTGGGGAGCAAAGGGACTTTCTGTCTACAGTTAAGATTCTGAGGGCCTGGGATTGAGCTGTGTGGTGCTGCATCTGCCTCACAGGTGCAGGGTCCTAAGTATGATCCCTGGTACCCCAAAAAAAGATTCTAAAAGGCTAGTCCCTTGGACTAAACCAAAAGTTAGCAAGGCTTTATTTCAGATCAGGGGTCAAACTTTTTCTGCAAAGGATCAGACAGTAAACATTTTAAGCTTTGTAGAACAACAGGCAAAACTGTAGATATTAAATAGGTACTTACGTAACGAGCAAAATAAATTTTTCAGGGAAAGATCGACTTCTGGACTTTTTTGTTGTTGCTGTTACTGGGGATTGAACTCAGGACAGTGTGCTTGTGAGGCAGGAAACAGAAC